TATATATATATATATATATATATATATATACAAATATATATAGTTTCGTGGCATATTTTAGATCGGCTAATTAGATAATATAAAAAAACTTACTTAAAAATAAAAGAAACAAATCTTGTCTATATTATATAATGAAACATACATATACATATATATATATATATATATATATATATATATATATATATATATATATATATATATATATATATATATATATATATATATATAGATATATATATATATAGATTTATAGATTTTTATGTAAATGATGAACATTATACGCCAGATATCCAAACTCATCTGCTTGTGGCCTTATATAGTTTTGTGGCATATTTTAGAACGGCTTTTAGTGTACGGATTTGTTTCGGCAGAGATATGAAACATCGATTTGTACGAAATTTGTGCAGTAAAGTCATTGAGAAGAGAAAACGGCAAAAAAACAGAGCAAAAGAAAATGAAGGATAAATTAAAAATATCTCTAAGAATAATAGAAAAATGTATGTCTAAACAAAGAGAAATAAAGAGATAGAAGGATAGAGAGGCGTTATATGTAGAGAGAGAAAAATAAAAAGAGTAAGTGTGAAAAAAATAAACAGGAAAAGGTGTGTTTCAAAGTTAGTAATTATCTGAGTATTCTTACCTATGTTCACCTATTGAAGTCTGCAAGTGATTCTTTCGATGCTTATTTCAAACTAAGTTCTGCCTGTTTTGTAAATTCTTTTCAGCTTCTTCCTGGATCGCATCTCTTTCTCCGGGTTTTCTAACATACTCAGTGAAGTAGTCTTGATTAAAATTTGCCCAACTCGTTGAATGTTCTTGGAAGTTCTTTGTGCCTTCACGAATTGTACACCTTCATTTATTTTGATCACAAGCAGCAGTTTCCCACACAAGTTATGGAAGGCTACAAGGGACTCTTTTAAATAATTTTAAACAAGTATTGAACTCACAACTCAAGGACACATAGCCCCGTGAATAAAAGCGTTGGTTGATGTAATCCACTGACCTGGCCCAAAGAGTTGTGAGTTCAATACCTGGCCACAACAGAGGTGAACAAAAACTTCACTGAAATAACTGAGACATCTGAAAGTGGCATGGCACAAGGAACTAGAACAATCTATCCTGGTGAATGAAATAAACGCCAACACGTCGTGAATATGACAACAAAGATGAGGACAACATTCCGAACAATGTAAATAATCTAAATGAATCCTTTGTCCTCAAAAATCTTCTGTGTGGTTGTCTTGGGTTTTGTATCGGACAGACATTACACTAATTGACAGCTTTTACATGAGCTACTTAAGAAACACATGTAGCATGAAATGGCAGGACAAAATTATGAATTCCAGTATCTTGGTGTGTTGGCCAGGGTGTCATCTTGCCCGATGGCAAGTGGGGCCTCTAATGTAGAGGAGGCCCTATATATAAAATCAAAATGCAACAAAGAAATAACTGCTTTAGGGAAAAAAAAAAACGAAAAACTTTATAAAGTCATCTGGACACTATCATACACTGAAATTCAATGTGAGAGGACATTTTCAAAGCTGTAGACCATAAAGACAAAATTAAGATATTCACTGTCTGAGGAGAATTTGGAATCATACACGTTGCTATCCATTGAAAAGGAAGAGTTAGATGAATTGGATGCGGTAGTAATTATTGGTAGATCCAAACAATCTTTTGAACACAAACGATTGCTTTTAATATAGTGGACTACATGAAATGCTGTATTTGAAATATCTGCTAATGTGTACATTCGGCAATGAATTATTTCAAATTAACAACAAATTACTTAAAATTAAAAAGATTTTAAAAAGATAAATTTTACGGTTCAGTATTTACATTTAGTATCGTCTGCTAGTAATATTAAATTCAAATCCCCCGAATAATTTCTATCATTGCTATATCCTGCTTGAATCGGCTTCTAATTCTCTGGATGGAGTTATTGGGAAGAAGACGTGACTCGTGAGGGGAGGGGCACAGTTCGTTGGGCTAAGTAAACTTGGATGAGTTACACGGCGGAATTTGTGAAAGGTGGCGCTATATTGAATCTTGTTAGTTTCTCCTTCGTCTCTGAGACGCATTGGTCCAGTAGGTATGGCGCTTGCGTTGTGTCATCACCGTACGGGTTCGATTCTCGGCAGTATATCCACACTACGGACGAGTCCCAAAAGAGGACGAAACGGCCGTCGAGTTCATTCTCCTGGAGGTTTTTCTTGACTCAATGAATTACTTAATTATGGTTATTCAAAGCCCCACTCGAATAATTTCTATCACCTTCTAGTAAGATATGCAGTAATTAAATTGTGGTTACTAAAATATACGTTTTTTCCCACACAAAAATTATCTTAATTGTACCCTTTTTCTTGTACGCATTCTTTGAAAATCCAAATTCATGGAAACGAAATGAGAGCATTGTAGTTGTCGCCTGGCAACCGATATTTTTTATCCCCAACCTGCGACTTCATTAGATACCAATTTCCTTGGTATGGAAGAGTTTCATATAAAATTCCAGCATACGTTGTAAAAATCTGAGTCAATGAATCAGAATTAGAAAGAATCAAAGAATAATCCTACTACCAATATCAACCTTTACTCTGACCGTAATTTTCTGCTATATCCAGAGCTGGTCTAATCTCTCATGATCCTGGACATACACATAAACTTTGTGGAGGCCTTGACGTGGTGTAATGGTTAATAAGCTTGTTTCGTTAGAACAATTACTACAGAATAGTGAGTTCGATCCTCACTGGGTTCACCATACTTTCGGCCTTGTACCACAACTAAGCTACGCTTAGAAAATCACCATAGACGCTACGTGGCTTTAGACAAGAGTTTCCATCAATAGATAATCAAATTCTTCTATGATCATGGAAAATTCTTAGGGGTGATATGCAGGGTTCATCTTGGTTTTTCCTCGGGAATATAGTAACCCGTCGCTTTTTCCGGGTCGCAGATATCAAGCTGCTAGCAAGAAGAATTAATCGTTTGAGCCGACCCATTATGAGGGATTGATTTAAGGATATTTTCTTTAGATGCCTGTCCTGTGGGTTTCCAAATCATTTATTATCTGTCAATTGGATTCTTGGGAAGAATAGTCTGAATTCGAAACTATGGAATGTATAACAAGGATAACACTCCACAGTTTCGAATTCAGATTATTCTGCTAGATTGGCTGTGAGCCAAATTTAGAGAGCGATACCAGAAGAAAGAACGACAATGAGAAGAGATGGGTTCCTGATCTCTCCAAAAGAATTTATTGAAAAGCAACTGATTCACCGATTTCAGTTTATAATCTGATACTCTACCCGCATATATTTACTCTAAGGTGACTAAGAGGCACCCGGGTGGAAACGTTTATTTTGGGGAGTAAATATTCTGCCCTACCACCCCGTTTATTAATTTCGATCCCTATTTGATTAAGGTCCCGTTTATTGCATATTGATAAAACCTATTATGACATTCTTGTATTAGGGAACCTAAGAATAAGGATATTGTGTTTGATGTGGACCTACCTATGCCAGAATTTGAACTCAGGTCGACGATTCTTCCTCCTTTTTCTCTTGCTATCTATCTATCTATCTATCTATCTATCTATCTATCTATCTGTTCACATCTATCTCTCTCAGCCTGTTCAAATCTATCTATCTATCTATCTATCTATCTATCTATCTATCTCAATCCGTTCACATCTATCTATCTATCTATCTATCTATCTATCTATCTATCTATCTATCTATCTATCTCAATCCGTTCACATCTATCTATCTATCTATCTATCTATCTATCTATCTATCTATCTATCTATCTGTTCACATCTATCTCTCTCAGCCTGTTCAAATCTATCTATCTATATATCGATCTATATATCGATCTATCTATCTATCGATCTATCTATCTCAGTCCGTTCACATCTATCTATCTATCTATCTATCTATCTATCTATCTATCTGTTCACATCTATCTCTCTCAGCCTGTTCAAATCTATCTATCTATATATCGATCTATATATCGATCTATCTATCTATCGATGTATCTATCTCAGTCCGTTCATCTATCTATCTATCTATCTATCTATCTATCTATTTCAGTCCGTTCATCTATCTATCTATCTATCTATCTATCTATCTATCTATCTATCTATCTATCTATCTATCTATCTATCTATCTATCTCACTCCGTTCACATCTATCTATCTATCTGCCAATCCTGGTCAATACCTTGATGGGTGACCACTTGTGAATATCAGGTGCTGTAAGGTTGTATGTTCGGGTGGTGTAATGGATAACGGAATGCGAAATCGGAGAGCAGAGTTCGAATTCCAGTCGGATTCGTTATATTCACTTACATGCTATTAAGTTATGAGAAAGATATGAATCCGTCTCTTCCCCCAGCTATGTGTTAGATAGTAGGAATTTTATCAGAAAATCAGTATTACCAAAAAAAAACAAAAAAAACAAAAAAAACTTCTTACAATGTCAAAATATTTACTGGCTTTAAATCACGTGCAAAAGGTTGATAACCCATAAAAAATCCTTATATCAATCAATAGATCTCAGTTTGTTGATATCTATATCTTTATTTAGATACACCAATTTTCAAATATTTATCAAGATCTTTATGTTTCTTTTATCATCACTAAAATATTTCTTCTCTCATTTTTAGTTCCTTTTACACATTCGGAGCTTCACGGTAACATATCGATCTGTTCCCTTCCTTACATCTAACAAACTCATAAAAAACAACTTATGTATAAATATGGAGGCTTCTAGAATATTTGTTTTTTTGTTTTTTTTTTAGGAGGTTACTACAAAATGGCTCCGCGGGGATCATACTTCGTCTGAAATCGTATAAGTCCGACAAAATATCTCTGGGCGACTACACTCCTCTCAACAGCTTAAAAGAGATCACCATAAAAAATGTTTGAAGGTATTAAATTAAAATTCGCCTAGTTGTTTCTAGTTTTCATTCAGGTATTTCTTTTTCCCGTCTTGAGATGATTAATAGTCTCCCTTGAGTTGAACAGTGTAGTATGTTGTCTTGAGTTCATTTTTCTGCCTTCCATAAATCCAAAATGGCGGTAGGTGTTGAGGAAACTGTTGTGAGGTGTCAAACGAATGGTTATTGATGAGAGAGAAACGTTGGTAAAAGAGATGAAACATCAAGGGATGAGATAGAAAATAAGAAGAAAAGTTGTTTAAGATGGAAAGTAGAAAATCAAGAATGCATAAGAGAAAAGGAATGATTAAAGATGGAAGAGGAAAAAAAAAACAGAGGCAAAATGGAGGAAGTTGAATAAAAAGACACTTGTGTAGAGAGAAAAGGGACGGAAGAATGAGGAGGAGGAGGAGAGAAAAACAAAGGGAAAATGAAGGAAGTTGAACAAAAAGAAACGTGTAGAGAGAAAAGAAACGCAAGGATGAGGAAGAGGCGGAGGAGGAAGAGAGAAAAACAGAGGCAAAATGGAGGAAGTTGAATAAAAAGACACTTGTGTAGAGAGAAAAGAGAAGAAAGGAAGTAGTGTGAGGAGGAGGAGGTGGAGGAGAGAAAAACAGAGGTAAACGTCAGAAGTTAGAGAGAAATAAAAGAAAAAAAAGAAGGAAACAATAGGAGGGAAGAGGAGAACAAGAGAGGGAAAACGAATTAAGAAATAGGGAGTTGTATAAAAAAAAATGAAGCGGAAGAGGAAGTAAAGGAAAAGCGGAATTGAAAATGTCAGAATAAGAAATGAAGGAAAAGAAAAGGTTAGAAAAAGTTATAGAAAATAAAAGAGAAAATAGAGAAGAAAAACAAATAAATAGGAAAAATAAGTAAACTGAATGATAAAGAATTCAATAGGAGTAGATAGGTTCGCCTATCGACCGACTCACACAACTTGCCGCCTTTTGAACAAAAGTAGAGTTTTATCCCTTATTTCCTGCTTAGGATTAGGTTTCTGGTTCCTTCAATGTCTACTTCAACTCTATACTTTTAACGTGTCCGCCGAAAAAGAGAAATTTTATTTAATATTTATTTATTTTTCGTCAATAGGAGTCGATAGGTTTGCCTATCGTCCGGTTCACACGCCTTCATCTTCTGTTGAACAAGAGTAGAGATTTTATGACGTGTTTCTTGTTTACGAATGGGCTTCCATTCCTTCCAAATTCTTCTCATTCTGTTTCACTCCCAGTAAGCGCTGCGTCTTAGTGGCATCATCGCCTTACTTGGTGTGAAATGTTTAAAAAAGAACAGAACAAAATAAAAAAGAAAGAATTTAGTGAAGATATAAGAAAGGTGAATAAGAAATATATATATATATATATATATATATATATGATTCTTCCAACGGATTAACCCCTCTAGGTCAGTACCGTGTTTATGACAAAATAGATACGCAAAAATTAGCCTTTCTCTTTGCCGAGCGCCGATAGCCTAGGGATTAGAATCTCTGACTGATATCAAATCGGTCGGGCTTCGGACGTATAGCCACACAGATGAGCTGTGATACAAGGAAACAGTCTGTCTGTAGATGCGTATATATATATATATATATATATATATATATATATATTATATATTAAAAATATATATATATTTTTAAATTGAATATATATATATATATATATATATATATATATATATATATATATATATATGTATATTGTAACTTAAAATATATTTAAATATGATATATATATATATATATATATATATATATATATATATATATATATATATATATTACTAACACAAAAACATATCGAGAATATTCAACATTGAAAAACATAAGGAAAAAATTAATTATTTTTTTATAATATGTGGAAATCTCCGCTTTTACATGAAGACGGTCGCGAGACGAGAAACGCGTGTAGTAAAATTATAGAAAATAAAGTATAATAATATTTTTTTCTAAAAAAAACACATTACAACCAAAAACGTTTGCGGCACGTCTTTTCTTTTCTTTTTAATATACATACTTTTTTTCTCGTTGGAACCACTACAACATATTTCTTTTATATAACTACAACGAAAGAATGCCGCGAACTGAAAAGAAAATCATGGAAGAACTTCTTGAGTTATTCAAACTTACCAACGAAAACAGGAACTATTGGAGGAAGAAATACAGAAATTGGACAAAAATATGGAAGCTATTCTCCTAGAAATCACATCACAACAAACCAGGGAACACAACTGCAATACAGAAACACTAATAGAACATTTCAAAATGCAGTTTGGATACCTGGAAAATATTAAAAAGTTACACATCCAAGAGGAAGCGTACCGAATGAAAAAACAGAATCTCCAACTTTGGAACGACATGCTCAATCAAAGAAAACTGGCATATTTCAACGCCATCAAAAATAAAGAAACAGCGAAAATATAGAAAACCTTCATAGAAATGGATGAAATATTTATTCCAAGGAAATTCCGCGAAAAGATTAACCCACAAGACACGGAAAAACAAAAACAAATAAAAAACACAGTAAGCCTAACAAAAATGCCGGCCCAAATTGAAATACAAGAAGACAAAACAATAAACTTTACAAAGAAATACACAGAGATTGATAACAAATTATTAACAAAAACCAAGGAATTATGTCCTAAAGAGACTCACCAATTCCTGTCTGAATTATGAGAGTCAAAATGTAAAAAAGAGGAGGAATAATCTCGAAATATCTTGGAAAGAAAGATAACCTGGTTAAAAGCATTACCAAGAAAAGAAAAATTGGAAAATGGGACAAAAACAAAAAAAACAAAAACAGTCCAAACTCACAAAAAACCCCAATACCCAACACAAAACAATCATCAGCAAATACAGAGAAAACCACCCAACAGAATCAAAAACCCGAATACCTACTACCCACACACAAACAGACCCACAAGGTAAGCACTCTAACACATTCTACTATACACAAACACATCCACAAGGTAGGAACCCCAATACATACTACCACCACACACATTCACACCCACATAAAAAATACAATTATGAACATACACTGAACAGCGCAAAAACAAACCTGTACAGACCACCACACCATAACACAAACAGACAAATATCAGAACACACACACATTCACAAAACCAACTCTTACAAATACCATCTAGCACAACAAACCAAAACCTGACAACCATTACCTATATCCAGGAGTACAATCAGAATTTTCCGAAAAGTTCTACACACAATCCACATACAATCCATACAAAAATAACAAACTTAGAAACATCTGGAACAGGCCCCCTAACAAAAATTAAACACGCATATAGAGCCATCGAGAAACAACAACCCCAATTTTACCAAGGGAAACTCTCACTGGCTAGAAAACTCAAAATGTACAGGAAGAAGGTATCTCTTAGAAAACCCGAGATATATTAAAAGAAACAATCATTATTTTTAGAAGCCCCAGTCCGAACAAGAAAATCAGTTTAGATGACACAAAACCCAAAATAATAAACCTATCTACATATACACTTACAAATGACGAAATCAACTTACTGAAATTGGGCCTAAAATTCTGCCCTGCTCCGAAAAGCAATATAGCAGACTTAAAAAAGACCTTAATGATCTCTAAGAATAATAAACTGAATAATATACTAAAAACAACCAAAATAATTAAAAGCAAACGCCAATCTAGAAACCTAAAACACATATTAACCTCATCTAAATTTAACCAACACACAATACAAGGAGTCACAAAATGCAACAAAAAAGATGTGGGGTTTGTGACATAGAAGGAAACTCGTACACTTTTGAAAACCCTAAAAAAACATTAACAATAAATAAAAACTTAAACTGCAACTCCAAAATTGTAATTTATGTATTTAAATGCACAAAATATAAGAAGTCATATATAGGCATCAGCCAACAACTGAACAACAGGGTCTCCCTACACAAAAGCAATATAAAATTGCCAGACAATAGAAAACTTTTTGTAACACAAGACATCTTCAAATGTAACCAGGGTAAATTCAATATCATGCCGATATATCAAGCAAACGATTACACGTACCTACAAATACAGGAAAAAGACTTTATAAACAAATTTAAACCCGAACTAAATAGATCATAACCCCACACACAAAAACACACAACATGCACACAAGGTGACCAAATACAATGATCAAATCACTCACATACATGAACGCACGCTCACATGAACGCACACTCACATACGGGAGACACGAAGATATATACACACACACACACACACACACACACACACACACACACACACATATATATATATATATATATATATATATATATATATATATATATATATATACGCATGTTGACAAAACAGGGGAACTACTCACGAGCACGCACATAAACCCCACACAACTTAGGAAGTACGTGTGTATGTATATACGTATGTGTGTGAATGTGTGTGTGTTTGTGTATGTGTATACTGGTTCCATGTAGCTTGAGAAGTGTATATGTGTGTATGTGTGTGTATTTATGTCTGTGTATGTACTGATTCCTTGTGGTCGGACGGTGTGTATGTGCGTATGTGTATGTATGTGTACAAATGAGTTTACTAATTCCTCATAGTAAGACAGTATATGTATGGAGGGGAAATATACGCACGCATATATACACGCATGCTGACAAAAACACACAAAAATGGAAACAGATCTAAGAAAGCCCAGGGGTCAGTAAAACATTAAAAGATAAAATGCCGATAAGTAATTCATCATTTCTCTTGGACCAACTTTAATTGTTTTATGACCCTTCGCGCAGAACTCTTCATTGCCAATTCAAGAAAGACATTCAGATTACTAACACAAAAACAGAGAATGTCTCATATCGAGAATATTTAACATTGAAAAACATAAGGAAAAAATTAATTATTTTTAATAATATGTGGAAATCTCTGCTTTTACCTGAAGACGGTCACGAGACCAGAAACTCGTGTAGTAAAATTATGGAAAATAAAGCATAATATTTTTTGCGTTAGCGTTTGCGGCACCTCTCTTGTCTTCTTTTTAATATACATACTTGTCTCTCGTTGGAACCACTATAACCTCTTTTTTTTTATATATATATATATATATATATATATATATATAAATATATATATATATATATATATATATATATATATATATATATATATATATATATAAAAAAGAGGTTAAATATATATATATATATATATATATATATATATATATATAGGTAACTATACTCGTTTTCGAAATAACCTTCGAATTTTTGATTTGCCAATAATCAAATCAATCTCGAAGGAAAAAAAGGTTTTAAAAAAAGAAAGAGCTAGAAACATGAAAGTCTGTCGAAAAAAATTGCACAGATACAGGTTTGAAGCCCAAAGAAAAAAACCCGACACGAGTAAACAACTAACTAACAAAAGAGCTCAATCCAACCGTAGAGCAGACCTAGATAAACCTAGTGAGCCAGATAAACCTACCCAGATTTCACCTAAGCGGATCGTCAGGGAAAGCTTTCATTAAAGACGATAGACAAGGTACACAGATTACAGTTTTTATTTAACTTTTCTTGTGTTCGAACAAGTTTTTTCTTTTCTGGACACTGGGTGTGTAGAAACTGTCCAAATGTTCTGTAATACTGAGCGCTTTTTAGAACTAACAACACCTTTTAGAAAAGAAGAATGCAAAGAATGTGTCATAAAGTCCCCCAATTAATAATAAAATGAGGATATCAATCCGTTGAGAGCTCAATGTCAAAAACAAAGCAAAAATTATTATATAATGAAAATCAAACACTTAAAATACCATAGGTGATATTTGTTTGATTGAACTCGATAATAAAATGGCTTTAAATCTTCAGACCTGTAAAACAATTGTAAATGGAAA